TACGATATGTACAATTTCATGAACATGAATTTCATATTGAAATTTGTAAATGTTGTCGTCAACATTTTGTAACCCATTTTGGAACGAACTGTGAATATCTCCAATGTATGCATATTTTCTTTTTTTTTCCAAATGAATGACATTTATGCACGTACATAGTTCAGAGAGCCAAGGGTACATACATATGTATGTATATTCTATGTAAAGATATACCTACGCAAAGGGTGTACCAAAATTCACGCAAGATGTAAAAAAACATTTCATTTTCATAGTTGCTAGTGGTGTGCTGAGTTGATACTTTTAAGTATTGATTGATACTCGGTACCGATTTAAAAAGTATTCAATACTTTCGATACTCGGTAACGAATTGATTAGGCTTCCAGTAAGAACGCATTTAGACCAAAAATAAGGAATAAAAGCGATTCAGGGGAGCTTAGCCTATCAAAAACCGAGTGTAGGGGCTAATAGAGCCTTTAATGCTGATTTCCGTCGCCACAATGCAGAGAATTTTTTGTTTTCTAGATGAATCGGACGATGTTGTCTTTGTAGGCCTGAACGACTTCTTCATCCGTCAAAGCAATTTTCTTGAATTACATATATATCTACGAAGGGGGGACCTGAAAAAATGGCATTTTACTGTTGCGATAAGGTCAAGAAGGCGATGAGAGTATTGTTTCGAGGCAATATTTTCGAAACGTGGTTTTCACATTGTTCAGTACAAATTGTTATACTTTTGGGAAAGCATCGTCCTATTCGTACTAATTGTGAAGCATATTCATAGTCGAAATAAAGTCGATGCATTAGATATTTTTAACAGATATTCTGTTAAAAATTATGTCAAAAACCTGCAGCTACTGAATACGCCGCATTGTTATTTAGGCAATATCGCAGATATATAAGAACAATACATTTTTTTTTTCTTAACGGGAAATTTATTTTATGTCGAAAGTTTAATGTGTGTATATAATCGGTATTGGGTACCGAAAAGGAAGTATTGGATACCAAAATCTTTCTGAAGTATTGGGTACCGGCAATTCAGCGCATCACTAATAATTGCTCCATTCGAGGTTCAAAGATCGCACATGCTATTGTCGAAAAAATGCCTCCACCACGTTCCATGGTTCGGTGCTGATTTTCAGTTGGAGCTTTCATTGAACCCCACACTTTTGATAATGAGGTTGGTTAAGCAGTTACTGTACGATCCGAGAGGTCATGTGCGCAATGTGCTATTCCATAAATAACCATATCCTATGTATTTATGTTTCAATAATTTTGGGGTAACCCTTTATATGTACCTATTATACCATTAATTATGCTCGCATGTTTGATCTCATATTAGGCCAATAGAGAAGAGAAAAACTGCGCTGTACACTGAAAATACTTTTTGTTTTTTGTTTTGTTTTTGAAAGCAGTAGAATTAACAAAGCTCTTATTTATTTGATCACACTCTTGCATTTATTTTACATAAGTGTGCTTGGTTATGCAAGCTTTACAAGACCTAAAAGTACGTCCCTATCAACTCTGTGAAATCCAAAGGTTTTTGTCACATGCTATCCAGCCAACAGCTGATACATATGTACATACCTATGTATGTATGTATGTATGTAGGTGTTAAGAATGCAAGGGAAGCGCATGCATTCAATTTGCTTTTCGAACTCGACTAGTATCTATCGAGTGTAAGTACTTTTCTTGACCGCTGTTCAATTATTTACATACTCCCCCCCTCCCCCCTCTGATCGCTTGTTATGCGGTTTTTTTGTTGTTGTGTTTACCTGCCTTGGCAGTGGTATGAGTGTGACATCACGTGCATTTAAGTGTGACACTCCTCGCGCTCGCGACTTTCTAATGCCTCTGTTGTGTCGCTGCCATTGATATTCCAATCAGTGTTGGGAAATCAGATTGTTCCTTTAGTACGAAATCTATACAAAAACTGTACTTTTCGACTGTACTTTGTATCGACTTTTTTATTTGCTCATATATTTTCTTAGTACATGCATATATAGATTCCCTACAAGACCAATAATTTGATGGTATGCATGGGAAAGTTGATGTAGGTACATTTAAATTTTTAATACTTTTAACGTAAATGTGTATGCACTTATTTTAAGGTACACTTCTTAAACATTTTTTTTTTTTTAAGTTATTATGAATGGATAAAAGAGACATCTTCTTTGAATTCAGTACTAAAACTTTGCTTTTTAATATTTCAAGTGCTTATCAATACTTTACGACACGTAAATATTGACAATATTTAGCTTTTAACTATTTATCTTAAAAATATTTAATTTTAATAATTTGTATATAAAAATGCAGTTTATACTTTAACAAAACCCGTATAAATCCAAGGATCAATCTTTGCACAACATTAAAAAAATTAACAAACTTTCGTAAACATTTTTAATTAATTTCCTAGAAATACATATTTTGAATATGCAGTTTTGTAGCCCGGTCAATTTAAATAGAGATGATTTTTAATATATATATATATTTTTTTTTTGATGAAGGTGTTGCTCATTTTCTTCATTAAAAAAACGTCGAACATACTTAGATAATATAGAAGAAAATGACCGACATGGTCAAAAAAATGCCACACATCAACGGCAAATCCCAGCTATTTTAAACTTGCACTTTATTATACTAAAATTTAGTGAGCTAAAAGACTGCAAAATATTTAAAAAAAATTTAAATTGAAAGCTCGAAATTTTTACGAAAGTTTGTCGATTTTTTTTTTTAATGTTCAAAGATTTTAACTTATTTTCATACAGTTTTTGTTAAGGGATAAACTATATTTTTATAAACAAATAATTAAAATTAAAGCTTAATAAAATAAATAGTCCAATCTAGTCAATATGTGAGTGTCGTAAAGTTATGATATTTAAGAACATCTCCTTAATTAACGACGATACTTTTTCTATACGAAGCTGATCTCAACATTTTACTTTAATAAAGTTTAGTATCGAAAATATTCTTTCAAAACTTGCCTAGGAATGTGAGGTTGATAGCACACCTTGTGCTATGTTATAATTGTTCGTTCAAAACCTTTTTTCAAAACTTACAAAGGCAAGAACGAGAAGGCGAAGACAAAAAGAAAAATTCGCGCAGTGAATTTTCAGAGCTATATATATAGTATTCATCATAAAATTGTACTAAAAAGTACTGCGTAGTAGGAAAGTATATTGTAAACCAAATTGTATCAAAAAAGTACAATTGTACCAAAAATGCCAACACTGATTCCAATGCAAAATTCGCTTGTAAACACATGCATTTATGTATAAAAGTGTCGCACAGTGGAAGGGCCTCATAAAAATTTTTGCAAACAGTAGAAATTGCTAAAAATAGTAGCGTGAAGAACTTTTGCCTAGGAATGAATAAACATGAAAAATTTTAAAATTTAGCGGACTGTTACGCCCTCTACACTAGGGGGCGGATATGGTAAATGTTATGGGATTTCAATGAAATTGGGTTTGTAACTTGGATTAACCTAGCAAGGCACAAATCTAAAAAATGGTAAAATTTGGTGCAATATCTATATTTGCATAAAAATAGTGTGTGTTGGTGACCAGCCACGTCTCACTAGTGGGTGTGAATGGGAAGTATGGTTATTTCTACCATTACAGCAGTTGCGCAACGTACGGAAACATAAATCCCAGGTTAATCCGACAAACCGAATTTCAATGAAATCCGATAACATTTACCATATCCGCTCCCTAGTGTAGTGGGCGTGGCAGTTCGCCAATTTTTATCAGTTTTCATACTTTTTCTTTCCTTGGCTTAAACCGTGCAATTTTTGGCCCTATTTTACTTCAAAAAAAAAAATAGTAATATTTCAGTTCATTTTTGTAAAATCCTTTGCAAGTACTTCTTTTTATCGACTAAAATTTTTAAATTTCTATAGTGTATACAACTGGTTTCTCTCACTTTGGCATTGGACTTTTGTTTTAGGAATGTGTTTCTAATTTGAATGCTAAATGGGAAAAATTAAAAAGAATTACACCTTTTTTGGCACTTTTATTTTTCTATTTGGCACATTTTGGCACTTTTTTATCCTTCATATGGCACTTCATAGCTAAGTATAGTTGGCAGCCCTGTTACTTATGCTGTCCAGAAAAACACTAAAAAGGCATAATATCACAGAAATCTCTTTAACTCTGTAAGGACTAGCAAAAATTATGAGAACCTGATTTGGAGGCACCCTTGCGTTCTATTGAACTTAATATTAAAGATGAGAACAAACTCAGTTTCAATCGATCATTCAACTATCATTGCTGCTTCCGTAAAATGCGTATTCAAATTCGTACGTAAAAATTCTATTCATACAACATCGATTTCCTGTGGCCTTTGATAATTGCTAGAGCAGTTTTCTCAGGAAAAATTCCTTAAAACCTGTTAGTAGACATATTTAGAATCGAGTCAACCGCTTCGTTGGATATCTCGACACATTTGGAAATTAGGACTTTCTGCCACTCTCAGACCCACTGTGTGTCGCCTGTTCCGCGTAGCCGCTATCGCACGCAAACGAAAATTGCCATTTTTATCGTTGTCTCTTTGACAACAACAAAAATGAATGAAATGAATGCAAAATATAATAAAAATCAATCGATAGATCCATGTACATACATACTACACACAAATTAGACGCCGTTGCATAATCGCTTAGCAGCAATAAAAAAGATACGAGTAAATCCAAACACCAATTTGTCGCTATATAGGCCCTTACCCCACTCATCTGCTGTACATGCCAACGATTCGGAAGCATTTAATGGTGTTTGTGAATTCCTTTCCGCCTAACTGCCAATCATTACTGGCCATCCCCCGCCGCTATTTTTTTTTTTGCATATCGCTCTACTCGACATGCAGGGGTTTTCATGTCGCGTGTTGGCTTTTCACTTTTCACTTTGTATTTTGTTTTTGTTTTTTTGCTTTGTTTATTTCACGATTATCTACTTATGAAATATATGTATGTATATTTAATCGGTCGTTTTTTACTTTTCTTTCGGCAGCTAAATGTACGCGTCACCACCATGGACGCCGAGCTGGAGTTTGCCATACAACACACGACCACCGGCAAACAGCTCTTCGACCAGGTCGTCAAAACGATCGGTTTGCGCGAGGTCTGGTTCTTTGGCCTGCAATACACCGACTCAAAGGGTGATTTAACATGGATTAAACTTTACAAAAAGGTAAGAAGTTCAACTGAAGTCATTTTAAAAATAGTTTTATTATTATTTTTTTTTTTTACATATTTTTGCTATTTGATTTCGAATTACGAAACTCTTTGTTATAATTAGGGAATTCACAAGACGTGTTAACCATCGTAAAATCTTAAGCCTGACATATTTTTATGTAAAATAACGATTAAAATGGTTTTAGAGCGTTTCTAACTACACCGAAATGTTTATTAAACTGATAAAAAATATAATTAGCCCCACCTAAAATCATTTTAACCGTTATTTTATATAAAAGAATGTTAAGCTTAAGATTTTACGACGCTTAACATGTCACGTGAATCCCCTAAATGAGTATTTCGGTTTATTACTCGGTGGCTATCACTGAAAGCTACGAAAATGCTATCACTGAACTCGGAACAGCTACGCACGTAGCATATGGGTCTTTCCATGAAAATGTAAACCGAAAGTGCAAGCAAATGAATTCAAACGGCTTTATAACATTAAATTTCGTATTCAGATGGCGGAAAAAGGTTTTGAAAACGCGAACCGGGGTGAGAGAAGAACTGAAAAAATTAAATTAAAAATTTAATTTAGTGTGGGTTACTAGTAAAAATATTCTATGGGGTAAAAATCTGTTGCGTACGTTATTGTTTTTTTTTTTTTAATAAAAACTAACCAGAGTTAATTTCTATTAAAAAATGGAACGATTGTAAAGGTACATCATTTAGCTTAGTTTAGGAATTTTTTAAAGAATAGAAAAACTTCCATGATTCGCCGACTTTCGCATATACAGTATCGGTCATATCTATAACACGCCATTTCAAAGTGATATTGTGTGCCACTTATGCTTATTTATTTATTTTTAAGAATTTTCAATTAAAATACAGTACTTTCTCTACCAAACCCCATATAAACCCAAGCTTAACAATTTGTAGAAAACTTCAAAATACGGCAACAAATTTTCACCTAAGTTTCAAACTTTTTTCTCGGAAGTCTTAGAATTTTTTTGAGTACACAGTTTTTTAGCCACTGCAATTTTAGTCTGATAATGTGCAAATTTCAAGTGGCTACGAATTACCGTTATTTTTTTTAGAATTTTTTTTGTCGGATTAACTCAATTTATTTGTATGTGAATGAAAACCGCAACACCTTTGGCGAAAAAATTTCTAAAAAATCAACGGTAACTTTCAGTCACTTGAAACTTGCACATTACTAAAATTGATTGGGCTATAAAACTGTGTATTCAGAAAAATCCAAACACTTCCGTGAAAAAAGTTTGAAATTTAGGTGAAAATTTGTTGCAGTTTTTTGAAGTTTTCTACAAATTGTTAAACTTGGGTTTATGTGGGGTTTGTTAGAGAAACAACTGTATTTCAATTGAAAATTCTCAAAAATAAATAAATAAACATAAGTTGCACACAATATCACTTTGAAATGGCGTGCTATAGATATGACCGATACTGTATGTATATGTGCCTTCAAACTACTTCTTTTTTGTCGCGTCCGTTATCACCTTGTTTTGAACTGATATTTTCCACACCAAAGTTTCGAGGAGCCAAACATTCTACCGCTTAGACTTTGTTGCTTTTTCAATTTTTCCTAATAAAAAATCGTGGTACAAAATAAAAAATTTAAAAAATAAAAATATTAAAAATAGAACCCTTGGGTTTGCAAGATAACCGTAATCTTGTTTTTCAGTAACTTCTCTTTTTCTGAGATTTATGTTACTCCATAAGCGTACGAATGTCGCGTGCGGCTGCATGGAAACACCCATATGTATATGCATGTATGTGGTATGTACATACATATGTACATCATAACTACTTTGAATGGATACGTTCATAGCAATTCCGGATTCAGTTATCGCATTTTCGTAGATTTCACGAAAATCGGACTAGGATGGATTCAGTGATAGCCCTGATATTAAATCCGACGACCGTCATATTCCTCCAAAAAACATAAAATGCATACAAACAACATGGAACCACAAGACAGCTGATTTGCAGCATCCCACTTTCCCATTTTTCGCGGAAAATGTCCGGACTTTAATTCTCTCTTAACTTCCCTTATCTAGATTTTCGTCGTTAGATCTTCAAATCAATCAATGCCCAGAAAATAAATGAGAACGGCAAAGGATACAATTTTTCACGACAGAAATGCACTTGCTAATCTGTCATTGTCTGCCGAGCGGCGACCTCTATAAGAAACATATTTTTTATAAAAAAAAATGAAAGTCCAGTGTTTCCGCCGTACATACATACGCTTTGTTCAATAAAGAAGGATGCGTAATTTTTTATATTTTATCAGCATGTTTGGTAGATTTGTAAGTGGCGATACCTTTTTTTAATACACACTTCAGTTCCACCCAAGAAGCAGTTGTTTTTCAAACTGAGTTCCTCGAACGCAAAGCATTTGAAACAGTATTCTTATGCTGCAGCCAAAGTTATTAAGAACTGACGCCAAAGCCAAAGGGAATTCATATTAGCCTGAACTCGCGCAGGCAACGTTTGCATGAAGCAATTTCCCTGCAAAATCCCTGCTTAGCGCAACTCACACGCACACTTCTTTCAGCGCACTGACGGAACACCCAGACAAATTTAATTTCTGGGGATGCCTTTCAGTCTGATGTCCAGTGTAAAATATCCTTCAGCAACTTGCGGAGAGCAACGAACGATTATCTCTCAAATTTGAAAATATCCAAAAAAGTACGCAAACCCAAAATTAGCAAAAACTTGCAAGTAAGGATGAAACGATAACATGCAGGTAACGATACCGTTACTTCAAAGTAGTATCGTAAGAAAGTAGCGATACACGTAAAATATCTGATTTAAAGTATCGATACCTACTGGTATCGGTACTTTTGGGTATGAAGGTATTCCGTATGAGCTGGATTAAATTAAATTTTTTAATAATACAAGTTTATAAGTTGACAAAATTCCATTATAGTAAAAATTTGCGGATTTTATATGGTGAGTTCTTAGAAAGCTTAAATCTCGATACGAAAGTAATAAACATTAATGGCCTTATTCATATAAAATAAAGACGTTTTAAAAAAGGTTTACGAACTTTAAAATGTATGAAAACGTTATTTTATGAACCTCTTTAAAACTCCTTTATTTTTTATGAATAAGGCCATAAATAAATAAAAGACAAATAGTCATATCTAATCATGTCCACACAATTAGTTTTTTTTTGTTTGTTAAAATTTATTTAATATACATATGTGAAAATCAAAAATACGTTTTGATTTACTTATGTACATAC